CGCCGAAGGAAAATCAGCTCGGGCTTTTCCCACGTAAATGTTCCGCTCGTTTGAATGCGGCTATTACCGGGCCCTCTGTGCCGAGCGTCCATTTTCTAAACGTGTAATATTTCGGTTCTATTTGGCGTGCTCTTCGCACAAGGCCATTTTTCATCCTCCGGACGACACTCGGGGTTACATTACCTATGCTAAAAATAATAGAGTGCAGGATTCGAGCGGGCGTAGCGCGCGGCGCAGGGCAAAACGGACAGCCCCGTGTGTGTTAATCGAGCCCATTATACGCGGCGTATAGGAAAGAAAAGTTGCGCAGCGACGCCGAAAGCTACGGCGTGTTACGTTGCGCAGTCGTCGGGAACGTCGGCGGCGGACATTATTGATTGCACGAGGGAGAGAGAAGACAAGAGAGAGAGAGAGAGAGAGAGAGAGAGAGCTTGCGGCGGGAGAAAGACAGAGAGCGAGTGAGAGAGAGAGAGAGAGAGAGCGAGCTTGCGGAGGGTGGCACGAGCCACCCCGGGAAGGAGACGAGAAAGGAGGCGAGGCGAAGTAGGTGGCACCCCTCACTTAATACACCCTCTTTACACCCTCCTGCAGTCCCGCTCTCTTTCTCTTTGTTCTTCGCGACAGTCGATTGAAAAACGGACAGCGTAAATGCCGGGTATTTCTGCCGTGCAATAAATACGCCGCGAATTCGTCGTAAATATTCATGCCTCGCCTCCTCTCCTTCCGATATGCTTTCCGATAGACACGCGTTTCATTAATCGCCGCGCAGGACGGCGAAATAACAAGCGAGGGGCGAAATAATAGCGCGCGTTGTTGTGTCAAAAGCGGAAAACCGGATAATGTAGAGTGTTGAAAAGCTTACGTTCACAAATGCGGGGACTTAACGTGCAGATGATATCAAAGTAAACGACGAGACACACACACACACAAATGCGAAAGCCAATGGATTCTGCACAAATGAATTTAACATCCAATGTCGCATTGAACCTGCTTAACGTTAGATTGTTCGTTTCGTACTATCGTAAAGCAGAATTACTTAGCGATTGTCGTATCACGGCGACCTTGTTTCGAGAGGGAATAAATGTAGAGTTACGATTATATTCTCTTTTAAATTGAAGCTTAAAATGTAATTTTAATCCGTAAAATTACCTGGTCAAAAGAGTGCCCGTATAATTAAGCCCCGGGTTTAAAAAAATTAAACACGTTAATTTCTTTTTGGCCGAGTTTCGGCCGCATTAAAAGCTCGGCGCGTTCGAGAAAAACCGAGCACCAGACTCGCGCTTGAATTCTCGAAATAAGATCGTCAAGTCTATCCCACTTCACGTAAAACGATCTCGCGCTGAGAAGCCCGGAGCTCGCGAATCCGCGCCTGAAAAGGATGTCATGACATGAGATGCGGACGCAGCGAAACGTTCGCACCGATGGAATATGCATGAAGATGAACGTCGGTTTTCGCGCGCGGCAAGCGCGATAATTATTCGTTTCTCGTGCCCGCGCAAGCGATGCGCGCTCTCGCGCGCTCGTCTCGCTATCCGCGGTTACGCGCGATTCGCTGCGTCTCTCTCGCTCGCGCAATGAAATGATGTATGAATGAAAGCAGAGCGTACGTACGTTACGTACCTTTCAGGTGTTTCGGGCAGCATACAAACTCGACACCGGAGAACAGAGATATGCCGCACGGCAACAGCATCGCGAAGCTACGCAGGTTCATGTTTCGCTCCCGGCAGGTCTCCGCCGCCGTGGCATTCCATCTGAAACGCAAATCCACTTGGTGCAGTCACGTGTGCCCGAGGACGCGCGTCCCGCGATCTCGCGAGAAACGTCGGTGCAAACAAGACGAGTCTCGCAGCATCGCGATCCTCATCGACGTAAAATCGCGAGGGCAAATTCGCGGGAGTAGTTTAGCGAGCGGCGGAAGTTATATCGCTCATTAGCCAAGTAATTAAGTGTAGTCGTTAGCTGCGAGCGATAAAGTAAGTAAGCGGGATAAGTGGAAGGTGAAGTGAGTAATACTTCGGTGAGCGATAAGTCGTGAAAAAAATTACGACACGTGCGACGCGAGAAGTAAAAGCCTTCGAAATATTTGCAATAATTCGCCGGTGCGACCGCAATATAATCGCTAATAAAAAAAAAAATAGTTTGGTAAGAATTGTTGAACCGAGAACGATTGAATCCGCGAAGGAATGAAGAGTCAGTACTCGAATTGTATAAAAATAAACTCGAAATTATTCTTCCGAATTACGCATCGCTTTGATAGTCCGCGATGCTGCGAATTTAAACTCAGTCGAGAATTAATTTCATTTAGCAGGTGTATTCATGTGTATACACGCTCGTTACCTGTGAGATTCCCAGCATTTTGTTTGATTATGAAGATGATCAAAGAGACAGCCCTCTGGCACGAGAAGTGCGTCGCTCTGGAAGGGTCCCTCTGAAAGTAGCAAACGGTACATATTGCAGTAGTACGAATTCGAGGAAAATCTCGATGATGAAACCGGCAAAGGTCGCGCATCGCCGGTATTTATTCTTATTCGCTATTTCCGACTGACGATGCAATCTCTCTCTCCGGAGAGAATTCGATGAATTATATTGCGAGTACATAGTTGGAGCACGAATTCACCGACGACTATACACTAGTGCGCATATATATATATATATATGCATGTAAAACAATATATGTGTATATATTCGACGGTATACATGTGTGTGTGTTGTTGAAATATATGAAACGTCTGAAATCAATAGCCGCTGAATCTATAAGGGTCTCTTCACACACAAGCATATGTCTATGTAAAATAAATACATATTTGGTGCCTTTTTATACAATTTTGAATATTTTGTGTAACCCAAAACTATATTTTCAACTGCAATTTTTCTTAAATACAAACGTCAAAAGCGTTAATGATTCTTGAGTGACGAAGAATTTAGTACAAAAAGTTTTTCGTGGGCAAAATTTTCTTACAAGTGACAACTTTTATTGATTATTTAAATTCCACGTAATCTTTTCATTCGCGTAAGCTTTTATTTTCAATTACAAATTTAATTATTAAGTTTTCTTAAGGTTGAATAATAAAAAGCTTCAGCATAGTGATGACCTCTCTTCAAAGTTTTCCTACGGCAAAATCGGCAGCAGATCTATTTATCGCAGAGTCCGTTTCTGAGATATTTTTCCTCGAGACATGTCCTACACACGCGCGCGTGTTGTATACACGCAGTGGGCACAAAAGTGTATAATTATATATTTGCGGATATCTTAATGTAACAAGTATGGAATATAAGAAGTGAGCAATTTGCCGGTAGTGCATTTGTCTAAATGTACCGTTGGCTTCATAAACGCGATGGAAAAGCACGCGAAAGGAAGAGAAGAGCACGGCGTGGTGGAAGCGCGTCTAGCGGATGACGCATCGGTACGTTCACCGGTGCTGATCAATAGAGCGAGTCACGCAGACCTTTCGAGGGTATTAACTTGCCTGATTTGTCTTCCAGCATGTTCGTGTATCTCATATCTAATGATCTTATACGTCGCGAGGTGTCTTATATATTTCGCAGGAAAGTAAAAATACAATAAAAAGTGGACGAACGCGAGCGTATATTTTGTACGCGGGTGAATTTTATTTCAACTATTATATTACCGGAAGAAGAGACAAAAATTAAACACCAGCAAGAAACCCGACATTTCACGGTAAATTTTTTTTTTTTGCGAGGGCACTCGACAAGGGAGTGATTAATGGAGCTTCGTAAAGCGCGCCGCACGCAATGGGAGATGCGCGCATAAAGCGAATGACCGTAATCATCTACGCGTGACCATCAGGCCGGAGATAATAACATTTATCTAATGCAATTAGAAAATGAGACACGCTGCTCAACGCGGCGTGCTCAAAACAGATAAGGCGAAGTGGAGTTCGGAGTTCTCGTCCGCGTCTCCTGAACTTCTGAATGCGTACTAATAAATGACTGCACTATCTTCTACTTACAGGATTTCTCGCTCGAGAAAATATTGCCGGCAATGTGTCTCGTGTCACTACGGCATCCGCGTTCAATCATTTATTTAATGGCGCTTAAGAGAGCGGAAAGAAATTTTCTAGATATTTTTACTGTATTATAAGCTGCATCACGAGTATCAAATCAAAATTTAATGATGTCTTTTGCGAGAGGAATTTTCTCTCGAATAAAATTATCGTAGTTTGTCGGTTTTTAATATTAAATCTACATGCAATTACCGCTCTAATTAAAATATGTTAAAAAAGGAATCAATTTAGAATGAAATAAAAATTTTCCTCAATTCGTTCAATTGTGCATTTCTCTAGATTCCATTGAATTGTACAAGAGTCATTCGATCATTTATTGTTTTATTCTCGCTACTTTAATGATTTTAATTAAGAAAACCGGATTATCAATATTTTGCTTTCGAAAAATTGACGATGAAATTCTTCTCCGCGGCAACACACAGCGTGAGATATTCCATATATAAATATTCTTCTCCCGTGCTTTAATGAATGTCTAATGTTTCACCGCTCATCAAAGTTCGCGTTTCATTCGATTTAAAATATTTCGCAGTTCAGTTTTCCTCGCAAATTGAAGAGTTCCGCGCAAGAGCGGAGTGAGTTTCGTAATTTACAAGGTCCACTTTAATTAACGTCGTATCTAAAATAGACCTTGCTAAATTGCAAACTTACTCCTTTTCTTGCAGCGTTCAATCGCGCCGAGGGGGGGGGGAAAGAGAGTACACGAACGGAAATAAAGACACGCGCTGCACTTGTCAGTTGCTTCGGGGAAACGAGTGCTTATAAAGAGCGGAAAAGTAAGTGCGATCTTGAATTCTGCTACTGCGCGACGTCACGTACGCGATGGTTCTTTCGCTCCTCGGCGCGATAAAAAGGCTGATCAGGCAGGTAGCCGAGCGAACAATCCGACAGCAGATATCGCGTTGTCCGTTACACAGCGTATTGACTCTACAAATTGAATTCTTCCGTCCGAAGCAGATCAAGCGTCCTGCTAAATTTATAACTAAATCCCCGCCACCGGAGATCGATCTTTCCTATTTCTCACAGCCGCCGCCGCCGCCGCCGCCGCCGCCGCCGCCGCATTATCGACGAGCTCACGAGCGATCGGTCGGCCCTCGCCCAACGTTTCCTTGCGATTCTTTCAGCAAGCCGAGTACCAAGAGCCAAATGTTACCGCAAAAATTTTTGTCGCCGTCGAACTGATATCGGCTCACGACGTCAATCCGATATCAATGCATCGAATATATCGGGATCCGCGCGTTTTTGTGTTGTACACAAAAAAATCCACATTGATATATTGACAATTATATTATTACACCGAGCTCTCTCCATTGATATCCAGTCGAAACAATTCGACGTTTTGTTTACCGCGCGGTATTCGCGAGGAATTACGACTTTTTGTTAGCCGAAAAATTAGCGCATCGTGATATTCTCGACAATGGACGGGCGGATGAAATTAATTCAAGTTCCCTTTTTGCGGCATTAAAGATCTGGCTTGAAATGACGGGGGGCGTTCGATTTTCGAACAGAAAGGGGGAAAAAAAGAGAAAAAAATGCGAAAAGTTCGGCACGCAGCGAATTTTCGATATTCCGCGCAAGAACATCAATAACGTTAGCGCTTACCCAGACATCTGTAAGGCTTGACCCAGCGGGAGAGCTTGCACTTGGATCTACCCGGCTTGCACCATCCGCTGACTCTGACGTAATGCGAAGACTCGACGATATTGGTGATGTCTCTCTTCGGGTAAGCCTGGAAAAAAGAATCGGACGGTCGGCGGATTAAGGGGCCTGCTGCAAGCACCATTAGCAGCTGGCTCGAGCAGCTTGTAATCGCGCGGCGAAATGTAATTATCGGGCGCGTATGCGGCAAGCCTATTATTACGGCGAACGAGCGGCTGTTTAATCTGCGTTTAAGAGCTCGCAAAAAACGCGCATTCCCGCCGAACAAGCTGTTTTGCTGATACGGAATCCGCGTAATACGCGAATTAAATATAAACAAGGCTAAGTTGTGAATTGCAACACTAGTTTGAGTGGCGGATCGATAAGTATCCGGTCGTTAAAAGACACTTCTTTGTAATGCGATATCGAAATATTAAAAAACTTGGAGGATTTTTCAAGCTTGTTACGAGAAGTTGCGAGGAAATTGACAGGGGTCGTCTTGCTTGCAATCTTCTGAATTGAATTCGATGTCAATTTATATCGCGCACTTTTAAATGAATTTCTAGCGAGCGATCTAAATAATGGAATTAATAAAAGAATTTCTCGGATAACAAGATTTTCTGTAATTCTTCTTTGATCTTGCTGTGATCGGGGATTAAACAAAAGACACTCTCATTGACCAGCGGCGGGAAGGAATTTACGCAAAAGCACGGTAAATAAATAATTCACGACGCAAAGACTGTCGACCCATGCAATTGCATGCAATAAAGTTATCGGCCGGGATTAACGTTATTTTCACGGCGGAACGGCGGGAAGGGTAACGAACCGCGTAATTCGGTGTTTTGTCGTGACTAAAGCGCGTCAACGAAGGGATGAAAATTCGATTTACGCGGGCACCGGAAGATTATAAACGACTTAATCCTGCCTGCAGGGCGGCAGCCATCACCGGCGCGCGCGATGTTAAATAACACGCCAGCCCTTAATTAATAATTCGCGTTCGCAAGAGTGGCCCGGTTTTCTCTCTAAATACGAGCTCCGAGTGTTTGAGCGAAGAATCGCGAACGGATTCGGTCTCGACTTCGTTTTAATAATTCAAGCGCCGACTCGAATAATTTACACACAGGTGTTTTCGCGACGAGTGCGAGGCAGCGATTTTTATCGATCGATATCCGGCGCGTTTCTTCGTACTCGTGCATAAGCAAATGCGAGCACGTATGCGTGCTGCAAGCTGCACACTTATCTCTCTCTTATGCGCATAGTGGATTGCGTGAACGTGTCGCATAAGCGAGACAGAGAACGTTATTATCCGGTAATCCGTAAGTTAGTCCCCGCCTTTCACTGCGATTTACTCGTGAAGGATGTGGACTATGCGCGAAGAAGGATCTGGTTATACTCTCGTTGCTTATTTGTTAATCTATTCCTGCCTTGGATCCTTTTAATCAATTACGAAATATCCTCGTTTCTGTTCAATCTATCGAAATAAAATCCAATTATTTTTATACGTGCGATAAAAGATGATTCGAATAAAAAACATGCTAGCTTTATAATAAAAGAAACAGCGACTAAAATATATGTGACAGTATAATGTAGATCGACATCACTGGACCGCTGTATATTCTTTTCAAGAATTGTAAATAATCTCGCTGGAGCCAAGTATTCACGCTCGTTTGTATATTTTATAGGACAGAAAAATGACAGAAAAAAGGGGGGAGAGAACTAAAAAGTTCGATGATAATAGAAAAATGTCAGATCTATTTTTAATGTCTATATATAACTTCTAATCGACTACAACGTGCTCGGCGCCGATACCGCGGACGACATTATACATGAGAGCATTTAATGGCTGTGTGATCTTATAAATTCCTTCTCTGCTTACCTTCTTACAATACTCCAGGATCTCGAGCTTGTCCGTCATGCAGCTCTTCTTATCGGTCGAGGAGACCCATCGACCCTGCTCGCCCATGTGCTGAGCAAGATACACCTCGCCGGGTTCACATAAGGTAGCGACCTTCGTTTGAGGAAAGATACGGTCATTAAAGGCACACACTAGCCTCATAGCGGAAAACACATTTGGCTCAGTCAACAACTTCATCAAAGTGTTTCGCTCGTCGGAAAGCCGGTCGATGTTAATTACCGACATCATTCGATTTTTATCTTCGCGCGAGTAAATATTACAGCGATAAATTTTTTACCGCTTTTTGTTTCACGACTCTCGCAAATTATTTGTTACAAGCGGCAACAGGCATGCACGCCGCTCACTTCGTTGGAAATAAAAATGGCACGGCGAATTTCTGTTCGCACGTGATGGAATAAAGTGAAGTGCTCGCCGGAAGATATTTATTTATTTATCATATTAGAGCAATAGCATATATTTCCCGTTAACGCGCTTAGTCTCGTAAGAAATAAAAGTTTCGAGTTCAATTATCCAGCTAAACGTTATTTGTTCGAAGTAGTTTGCAAGTTTCGCTTGAAAGAGGAAGATAACGAGCTTCGAGCGGAATTGAGGACGACGCGGAGCGATAAATTTTCGCGAAGAGTATAATTTCGCGGTGCTTCCTTTGAAATAAGACTAGTCCCGCAGTCTCTCACGGTACTCACCTGCGGCTCTGATCTTCCGCCAGCTGGTGCCAATTCAAGCCTCTCTGACACCGCCTGCAACACAAAGTGAGAGAAAATATTTGAGAGCGGCTGCATGTAGATGGGAAGGAGGAAACGGGTGGTTAAAACGTTTTCCGTCCCGATAAACGTGTACTCACGCGGTCTGAATTCAAATCTTTGATGTACGGGAACGGGCCAAGTAGTTTATTCGCCTTATGCCGCTACCTGACTCGGAAAAAAAAAAAATGCTCGAAAAAAGAAAACAGGAAGAAAAAGGTATATTTAATAAAAGCGGTTAAAAAGAAACGACGAGACGATTAAACGCATTATTTCCTACGGCGTGACTTAAGCACACCAAAGGTGTATATTTTTCTTCGAAGCAAGAGAGCGTATATTTTCTTTTCCTAGTAAACGTAAACTTACTTGGCAGGTAATAACGGGCTTATCGACCAAGATACGGTAAATATTTATTTATAAGATAGGTCATGTAATTATAAGAACGCATGCATTCTGCGGAACTTAACATCATTTTTCAAGAGAGAATAAAGATTTCATCGGTGGTAAGAAATGAATCAACATTATAAATACCGAGGAAGGGCACGACGGTGGCCGTTGATGTTCACGTTAATTAATGAACGAGAAAAGACAAACAAGCGCTTTTTATTCCACATATTTATTTCGTTAGAAACATTAAGGCTAGCATCGCATTGTATTATGAAAATTCATTCTCATAATTAACAAATTATTCACAACAGGCTAGATCCCCTCTAATTAACAATGATATTTATTGTAACAATTTCTTAGAAAGCTCCGTTGCTGCTTAATGCAAGTGGAACTACTCGGAATTTTAATGCAACGTGTAATGTTTGCGGTCTGCAAACGAATTTGAGGAAAGAAAACGGAGAACGAACGCTGACTTGGTTGAAACGCGTTAAAGACAACGACATAAACCCACTCGTTTCACCCGCTCGATAATAGCCGGTAATCTCGTCCAATCATTTAAACGTCAACGTTTTCGCAGTAAAATCTCGGTAATGGGAACGTTTTATTTCGCTGTGTCAGGTGAGTCCTTTATATACGGGACTTGTCCATATAAAAAACATGACGTACCTCGTCTACGTTTTAAGTATATTTTTCTAGTTATGCGTGTCAGATGTATGAGGTGCTCCGGATTTTAATTTTTACACTTTAATATCCTTCATCTTTATCAGAAGTTTTTCATCTTTGAAAAATATTTGCACGGCAACGTTGCATTAAAGAAAAAATAAATAAATAAACTACATTTGTAAAGAAATTGATTAAAATACCAAAAAATCAAGGTAAATTTCTTTCAAGATCTCATTTTGCATATACGTATATTAACCGTTAAAAGAAAGATGGTAATGATGATAAAAAAGTTAACGATTTCGTTTTTTATCCCGACGACAAGATGAGATGCGTTAAATGTCAATTACGGCAACTATTTCGCGCAGACAGGAAGTCGCCGGAGAGGCCAGCGGCGTAATTACGTCGTTCCGTAATACTCAACTAACTAATTATATCACTCGATAATGTTCGATAATTGCAGACGGTCCTCGGTTGATACGTTAACGCATCAAGGAGGCACGACGGCAGTTGCGGACGGTTATCCGCTCGTTTAGCGTAGAGAGCATATTAATTTTGTTACAACGGATATTGCGATTGTAGGCGCCTGACCGGAACTATTATCATCATAAGAGTGTATAATGTATTTAGACTTTACGCTACTGTGTATAAAGAAGGCAGCATTATTCAAGGACAGTTATTGCGGCTACATTGGATTACAACGTCAGAAGAGAAAAATCACACGTAATTTATTTCGTGGAAATTCAAATTTTCAAAGAATTATTTTTTTACTGGTAATTTGATATCTATAAGTCATAATTAAAATCTTTGATTACAATCAAAAACTTGACTGATCATCTTAATTAAAATCAAGAAATCAAGAAAAATAAATTATCTCTTTCTTATGTCACCAAGTTCTTGATTTTAATCAAAGATCTTAATCATGCAATGATTTATAGATATGAAATTACTGTAAAAAAATAATTTTTTTTAAATTTGAACAGACGCCTCAACCTCTGAAATAAGTTTTCCGTAAAAATATTCCGTAAAGCTTTAAGAAAATATGATTTAAAAAACAAATATCTATACAGCAACTGTGCAATATATTATATTTATAGAATTTTTTGCAATTTTCGTGGCAAACGCAATATTCAATATTTTATGGATTATCGTCGAATAAGCTTTGAATTTGAAATGTTTGATTCAATTGCAATGCCTGAAGCATGATCGAAAGTGGTGGTCCTAACTGTTTTCGATTCCACCAATTTTCTCCGGTTCTCCACGTCACGCGGTAATCTCGTGAATAACGTTTGACCGCGTATGATCATCTCGCTAAAGTCATTTACGTGCCCCGCATCGTCGATCCGCTTTATCGACAAGGTCATGTCTCCGCCTGCTCGTATCAAATATCTCGGGCAGATATCGAGTTTCCCGAGGAGACACGAAGGAATACGCCGCATCTCCGCCACCGACGCGCTTGTTTTGATCGCACGACGGCGCCTCGTGCGGCCACGGATCGCAGTGCACCTGGTAAATATCGGTATGCGTCGTGGGCGCTGCAAACTATAGGTGAGGTCAAACCTCGAACACGCACGCCCGCGGGATTGGCGTGTCGCCGTGAAAAATATCGGTTCCGCCAGAGTGAAAATCGCACGGTCGGTTCGCGTCGATTTACGACGACACGAAAACGATAGCCTGTACACCGTCCCGAAAGTGAAAAACCGTGATGAGTTGAGTAGCAAATGCTATACGCGAGATGTTATTCGGAGTTTTTTTGAATCTTTTTTGCAAAAAAAATATGGAGGGAAAAAAATTGTTTCATATTATTCCTTGAGTGAAAAATTTTAAATTTAAAATTCCGCCATTAAAATGAAAAGTTGTGAAAAATAATTTCTTTTTTCTTTAGATTTTCATTAATTGCGTTTATCTAACGCTGCGTACTTTAAATAGTTATCGTAATAAAGGAAATAAAAATGATATCACATTCTCCCCCACATAAGTGGCCATTCACCGATCTCAAAAGTGTCTCGAGAGAGATTGCCCGAGTGGAGCTCGCGCTTTAATTCCCATATTCCCAAACCTGCTCTGGGATTTAAACGCTCTGAGCATGAGCTATACGTATTTATACAGTATCATGACTTTCTACTCCTTATCTACATAACGCATAAATTATGCATTGCATAAATTATTTTTGCGAGGGATTATTGCGAGTGTAGATTTTTCTACGCGTAGATTTTTTATACGTAGACTTTTCGGGATTGAAAAAAATATTTACAGCAAAAAAAAAACTATTTTTCATATTACATTCTGATTCCCTGCGTAAAAATGTAAAAAAAAAAAAAAACCTAAGTCGATATCGATACGCTGTTATTCGGCGATATGTGTAGCCGTCTAATTTTAGATTCTACACTCGTTTCGTATTAAAAATGCATTATATCAGACTGATAATTGTAGATCAAATGCATTTGGCGCTTTAAAACGTCTCTGAAAGCACACACGGGCGACTGTGCACGTTCAACAACTGCGCCGCGACTATCCGTCGCATTATTGACTGGCGGTATCCGCTATGCGCGAGCGGCGTGCGGACTGTTACTATCATTACGATCATTATTGCGGAGCGATACGTTGCGAAAATGCGCGTTAACGCGATTACTCATCCGCGATCGACGAGTCGACGGCGGAAAAGGGCGGAGGACGAGCGGCGGGCGCTCGCCATTCGGCCGATAATTTCGTTTACGTTCGCAAATTGCGAATCGTGACGCCGGCTGCTGGCCATTCGTGAGCGAGACGAGCGGGGCGTCGCGACGCCGGTGCTTTGCATTTCATCGATCCACGTCGCTGTGTCAGGGACAGATCCGCGACGTGGTGCGCCATTATGTACGGAAGCGATTCGGGGAAACTCGCAAGTTTACCCCGCGGCGCAAGACACAAACAAGCGACAAACTTGCCCCCGAAATTAATTGCTAACAAGGACCTGAATTTCAAATCGCTTTCAAAAAGGACTCGACGCGTACACGAACCACGTTTTATTTTTAATCACCGATATCATATGCATATAGATTATTTTTTTTAGTATAAAAATCTTTCACAATCTAAATTTGCTCTGCAAAACAGCGTGCTTTTTGAACTAATAATTTTCCAAACATTGCAACAACGGTGAAAAAATACATTATTTATAAAATATAAAGAAAACCGGTCTCAACACGTAATAATATTTTGCTGCGAAAATTAATGTTACAGAATAACAATATAAACTTCTGTCTCGGACATTGAATAAAACACGTCTTTAAAAATATTTTATGTGTAAACAAGAACATCGCCGATTACGGGAAAATACAGTTTATTGCGGCCGATCAATCGCTGCTTCGATTTTGAAGAAAAAAGGTTCGAGAGCCATCAACGAATCGCTATATCGAGTCTCCACTTTGATGCAAGAGACCGGGAAGGATTATCACGGTATCCTTAACAAGGGTCAAGAGGGTGAGTATGTGATTCTAACCGTGGGCTGTTAGCGGTGGCTTTGTGTTCCTCGGTGGATCGACACGCTGCAATAGCACTTTCGGAGTTTGGTACGGTCACCACACACACAGATTGCGGCGGCCGGCTTATCGACTAGTCGAACGTGCGGTGTGCGTCTGGTATATTCCGAACTGGTTGTTGGTGATGCGCGCATCCTGCGGTTTCGCTTTTACGGGAGAGGGCGGAACGCTCGTCCAAAAAGCTCGTAACCTTGAATACCTGCAATTTCGGCTGCTCGATAAAGCGACCTTCATTAATTTTGCGCCAAGCCCAACACGCCCCCGCGACGGTTTCGAATACTAAAATCCTAATCTCGCTCCGAAGTTGCCTGTCAAGTGGCAACACTTATGTCAAAATCTGGGTGATGCTTTTGCCAGCAGAGTCCTCTTATCCGAAAATTTATCGCTCGTTCAACTGCACTTTAGTGCCGCTGTCTTTTGCATCTGATTAAT